GGTACATCATGTCACAAATAGATATGTGCATTTGTTTCATGATCCGCTTAACAATAGCTGAATGATGGCCATTTTAAGACCGAAAATGCATCAAAATCACGTATTTTCACAATTCCGGAACCGGATCTCAGTCATGCATGGATGGATTTTGTTCAGATTTAGTACAATGTGTTGTACATATGCAGGTGAATTTTGGTCATGATCTGCTTTGAATGTATATGTCACTCAAATATGAACGAACGGGGACGTGTCATTGACAATGACTTGTTAACTATTGTTTTACATACCTAGGGAGAGGGCACTTGCCACTGAGCTTCTCATCTTCAACATATTTCTTGAGAACTTCCTGGCACCTTGTCAACAATGCCGACAATGCCATTTTGGTTATACTGCCCTCATTTGTAATAACGCTTTTAGTGATGTAAGAGAACTGCAACAATGTCTCAAAACAAGCTTTGGCAAATTCCTCTCTCAACTGTCGACTAGAGTCTGTGTCTGTGAAATAGAAGAAAAGGATTTCTTTCATTGGTAGATAAATGAGGAAAATAAAAGTCATTGATGAATGTGTAAGTTTATTCACCAAGTACTGATCACAGGTGGTAACTATTGGCAGGTGACTTTTATATTAAGGAGTTCAATAACACAGGTTGATCTGATTACAAACAACATTAGAGATTCCATGTATACTAGTACCTAGTAGAATTTATTGATGAATGTGTAAGTTTATTCACCAAGTACTGATCACAGGTGGTAACTATTGGCAGGTGCCCTTTTATATTGAGGTGTTAAATAACACAGGTTGATCTGATTACAAACAACATTAGAGATTCCATGTATACTAGTACCTAGTAGAATTTATTGATGAATGTGTAAGTTTATTCACCAAGTACTGATCACAGGTGGTAACTATTGGCAGGTGCCCTTTTATATTAAGGAGTTCAATAACACAGGTTGATCTGATTCCATGTATACTAGTAATTGAATTTGAGGTTAACCGTTGACCAGCAATGACAACTTTTCTCCCCTTTCACAAAATAAAACTTTGTGCAACAACTGCAGTCAATAGCAAATTATCTCCATTTGGTTCAAACTTATCCAAAATATTGGATAGAAAACCACATAAAAACAGGCAAAATGTTGCATTTGAAGTGAAAAATTATGGCATTCAAAGGGGTAATAATTGAGAGCAGAATTCTCCACTTTACTGGTTTATTTATTGAGATATAATGCGAAACAAAAGATTTGTTTTGGGTATGCTTTCTGCCAAAATATTGTCAAAATGAAAACAACATGACGCTCATCACCCCATGTTTTTCAACATTTTAAGAAAAAATACAATTTTGTTTTAGCCTAAGTACTGGTCTTATTACCTGTAAATGATGTAGTTTTACTTGAGTGTATGGATCCTCTGTTTAGCATTGATAGTATCATTGCCATAAATGGTTTAGGTATGTAACTAGGATACGGCAACACCTCATCACGTAATAACTGTACTACTTGAATATCAATTGATTCATGCTCTTGGAATTCATCTATTGAGAGGTTTGGCGGAGTGCAGCTGAAGAATAAAAAAATCACAGAGAGTGAGTATTAAAGTATTGTTATGAACACAGCTGTGTGATGCTTCACTGGATAATGTAACCTATATGGACCTGAATGTCCCTAAGGTTTTTCATTTATAGGTGATGGGACTTGTATAATCATTTCTGTGCTGACGTGATTGATAGGAATAGAGATAGGTAGAAACTGACATCCTGCAACCATATTGTCAGCCAGCTATCATTCATTTGAAGTACTCAATAGACCATTTTCCGTACACTGCGAGAACCACGTGTTATGTGTGAAATCGAACGTAAAAACAGGACAAACAAAGGTCATAGCGTCGTAGTCGCGTCAAACATCGCGTGGGATTCGACAAACGCGAAAGTATTTCGGGGACATTTCCATGCTTAATAATGTGCTGTCCACATTTGATGATAGGCAATTTCAATTAAGTAAGGGTATTCGGAAGCAATATTCCTCTGTCGAAGATTGGCCGGTCAATGTAAGCTGCGAAATAAAGAAATTCTAGTTCAAAATCAAATCGTTCGATTTTTGCGGCAGACGTTCGATGCGCGTCTTTCATGCATCTCGCGAGATCTCGCAATTGTTCGGAAAATCACCTATTATTTAACAAAGATGGCAAAAAAATGTTTTGTATACCAGTAATTGAGAGCTTTAGGGTTAAAAGGCAATACACTTCATTGATTCTCACAATGGTGAGTGGAAGTAGATTATTTTTCCTGGATTCAAGACAAAGACTGACAGACAAATCACAAGTCCATGGAGTTAATATAGATTAAGTCTGAAAACAAATATCGGTCATTCATGACTTACTGTGGTGAGAAAAGGAAATGATCCAACCCTGTGGATAATTCTGACCACATGCCAGTGAAGTAAGAATCACTGTGGTGCTGTCTGGCTACAGGTAATGCAATATACAGCATCTCAAGCTGAGCACGTATGGCCAGTTTCCATGTGGTCTGAGATGGGCAACCGTATTTCATGCCAAGTGGTAACTGCAACGTCTGAAATCATTGAAAATTAGTGTTAATTATTAAAGGTCAATCATACAACGTATACTTTGATTCTGAACTCGAGGATGCAGCTGTAAAACAAAATATTATATTTGATTTTTTGTAAAAGGAGAATTATACTATACCAGCATTTCAATTGACTGAAAACTGTAAAATACTTTATTTTAGCTGGAATTAATTTTCGCTGAAAAAACTTTTTTTGTGGGATTTATTGAGTTGAATGTAAAATATAGGAGAAAGGTATATTTGCTGAATTTTATTTTCACTGGATCATCCCTTAGCGAAAATAGCGAAAGTAAGTTCCAAGCAAAAATAATATATTTTACAGTACGTTTTTCTGATTGTTTCTGATTCTGAATAAATAAATATATATATTTATATATATATGTGATGTAGCATCTAAAAAGTTGCATTCGTTAGTAAATAAATCTTGGCCAGTAGAATTGGCAAACTCACTGAGTTTGTGGCACACTCAACCAAGGCAGTGGTCGACCACATTTGGTGTATAGCCCTAAGGTAGGATTTGAATATTCTTATTTGGGACTACATATCAGGGCTGTGTGGCCATCTCTATCAAAGGGTAATTCAATGTGCTATTCTGACGTCAATAGGGTCTGGTCGATTACAAGCACCTGCAGACCTTAATAAAGGTTCAACTCAAAGTCACATTTGTTAGTAAATGAATCTCTGCTAGTGGAATTGGCTGACCCATTATGTCTGTGGCACACTTACCCAAGGCAGAAGTCGTCAATTTTTGGTGTTTAGCCTAAGGTAGGATTTGAAATAATCACAATTAAGTCAGATGCAACAAGCACTATGCTACCAATGACTTGTCAAAATCCAGTGATATTACCTTAATGATATTCTGCAAAACGTGTTCTTCTATGACTGATTGGTGGGTTGCTGTATGTCTGTATAACTCAACAACCATCTGAAGTGATTTCTCAGCAAACGGCACATAATTCATAGCAATCCATTCAGGCTGTACAAACAATATAATTGGTTAGATAGCTAACAACACACATAGATGAACCAAACAAACTATCGAGTAAAATAAATAATTCAACATAGAGCACATATTCATATTCCATAAAACATATCATATATAAACAATTTGGGAAAATAATAACCAGTTTAATATCAGTATTGTATTTTATCTTAAGTTACATACAAGATAACTTACACCACAAAAACATAAAATAAAATATAACATACTGTAAAATTTATTACCGAAGATAAAAAGAATAAATATATTACCTCCAAAAAACAAAATAAAAAATCCACACAATTAGGGAATCACATGACTACTAACATAACAACACATGACTACTGACGATATCATGACAGTCACATGATTACAGGACCAGCAAGCGTGTGTTGGGAAATCACTAATTAAACTAAAATAACCAGGTTATTATACCTTGGTACAAATGGGAAAGAAGGAACACAATAAAGGTATATAATATAAATACATATTGAAAATATATTTAAGCTACGTTGCTATAGCAGTTCATATACATTATACAACAAACTCCAATCTATACACAGGTCAAGTATGATGCAAGGGTACAGTGCAGTACTAGTGCATCATTTACAATCTTGCGAGAATCAAATCGCTACACTACACTGCGACTTTAAACAATATGGCAGCTAAGCCAGATTGTCAGATGCAAGTGCATAAGGTATATGAACCAATCTATTGCTGCTATACTAAACGTACCTGTGAACTATCACTAAACCTAAAATTAGCCCACCTCTCCTATAAACATGAGGTAATATAAAACAGTGTTATACAGATATGAGGAAATATTGTACATGCAAGATACAATCTGTGTGTGTCCAGATACTGGCCACTGGTGTGTGGGGTGGGTGTGTGTGTGTCATTTGTCTTATCAACGTTGTGACGACTTCCATTTAACTTTACACCTACCAAGTGATAACAAACCTACCAAGTAATGACCCTCACTATTATTTATATTAATATTTAATCAAATTTAAGTCAAGCATAGCTTAGGGTTAGTAAAGGGGGAGGTATGGTTCAATTTATATTAATAATGATATAACTATACCATACCTACTTCCTTTACTAACCCTAAGCTTCCCAAACTTTCTATGTTAAGTCACAAAATGTATGAGGTTATTTCTACTTTGTTGCATTTTTATTTAATTAAACTTGAATTAAATTCTATATTGAATTGCAATATAATTAAATCGCAATCCTATATAGAGTTGTGTTGTAATCCAAACATAACGCAACTATATTACAAGTTAATCCAATGCGTGTCGTTACAACGATGGTAAGACATGTATGTGTATGCGTCCAGATGCTGGCCACTGCTGCATGTGTGTATGCGTCACAATACTGGCTACTGGTGTGTGTGTGTGTGTGTGTGTGTGTGTATAAGTCACGATACTAGCCACAGATGTGTGTGTATATGTTCATGTACTGGCTACTGGTCTGGGTGTGTGTGTGTGTGTGTGTGTGTGTATGTCTGGATACTGGTTACTGGTCTCTGTGTGTATGAATGAAGAGGTGTCACACAATGCTTTGTATGGGTAATGTGCTAACATGCTAATAGGACATCAAGCATACATATGAATTAATATAACAAGGCACAATCAACATGATACATTATGTATATTATAACAGGGCTGTTCTGATATCCATATCATGATTGGCAGAGTTCAGGCATTAAGAGTTCATCGGGCAGCATTATATTTGAATTGGCAATCTGAATACCATGCAGATACCAGGCAACATAACATAATAGATTAGTTTGGTATGGAACCAGTAATATGTACCAGTGACAATTTGTGTAAGCAAGAAACAATGTGACACAACAAACAAACATACATTCAAGCAATCCCGGGATCAATGATTTGTACCCTTGTTTTTTAATTTAAATTTTACTTTCTTTACACATTTGCATGTCTATGCAAAAAAAAAAATACTGTTTATCACTAAACAATATTTTGAACAATTAGTTTCAGTTTGTAGATCCCATTTAATTTTTGTATTTTGGAATTATTTTATTGTATCCCATATGACGTACACATTGCATGCAAAATACATTTGTTGATGTGAAGTTTGAATGTGTGTGCCGTGCTGACTGTGATGACTTTAAGCTGAAAATAATAATTATGCCTGGAGAATATACTGTGGGATTGCCATTTCTAAAACCTCTTTGACAGGTATTTGATTTTGTTTTAACCAATACCATCCTCAACGACAACAGTGTTAATAAAGATTATGTTAATATTATGCACTTCATAAAGAACTTACCTGTTTAGAAGTCTCTGCAGGGTTGATTGTTTTCGTCTCTAGTTTACCATAGTTTGGTGGTTGGCAAGCAAAACTTACAAAGGTTAGTAACTGATTGAATATAGCTGGATACATAGACTTCATATTTTCTGGTCCATCTTTAATTGCCTAAAAAAAAAACAGAAGCTATATATTAATTTTAATGCATCACTTACTCAGCCAATAATATTTCAATCTAGAGATTGTGTCATTAACATTCACTAATCTCTAGTTCAAAATCATATTCTCTAAAAGGGATGTTTGACTCATCCATGTCAAATATGGTTTTTAAGCAGAACTTGGAGGATGTCTGGTGTGGATAACAAAGTAAGAAGTGAACGATGAGACAAATGAAAACCGAGACCTCGTTGAGAGCGAGAGAGCCGTAAGATTGCTTTTCACCCTTAAAATAGTGTTTCATTATCTCCTATCATAATTTCCACTGTTCTTTTGACTGATGGAACACGATACAATGATGAAAGAGAATAAAACATTATTTAAGGTTCAAAACCAGAATCTTGGCAGCCATTTTCATTAAGGTATAATCACCTAGACGTTTCATTATGATAACTTTATACCAGTGCAGTCAATCAATTAATAGTATGCATACAAGCACAGTTTCTATTTTTATCAAACCTTTGAACGCCATAAGTAAATTTTTGTCACAATTCACAAAATAAAAACACACAATTTTTTTTTTATATATTTTTGTAGAGATTTAGATCAGCAATGGAAAATTGTTCATTTTGCTGAAAATTTACCAAGAAATCACAAAAGTGGGAAAAATTATGACATTCGTAAGGTTAAAAAATACAATTTGTATTTAATGTTAAAAAGGTAATAATTTGGGTCATGCTAAAATTGGGTTATCTAGACACACAATTTAGCTGACATCATTAAAAGCAGCTAAATATAATTCTACAGTTATACAAAAAAGCACCCTTCTCTCTGCATAAATTAATTCACACATTTATATACCAGCACTGAGTGACACCATAGAAAATGTTTAAATAAGATAACAAGTATCGAACAAACATGAACCGCACTTTCAAATTGATACAATACCAGAAATTAGATTATCAGTACTGGCCACACAAGTGACAAAATTTTAACAATCCTTTACCTTTTGCACTACATCAATGGCCTGCAATGTAGACTCTTGCAAAGATGTGATTTCACACTCAAAATAAGAAGGTATAATGAAAGGTGAGGTCTCTGAACTGACGGGAGCAGACACTGCACACCGCAACACCATACACAGCTTGTAAAGGTCAGCCGAAACAAAACGCTGTTTGATATGTTCGAACAATGGTGGAAAGATCTCCACCAAGGCAGTCAGGAATGGCTGAGAAGGTAAGAACTGCACAGTGTTTGATTCCGGAGGAGTAGTACAATGGATACCAATGCTGTGCCAGACACGCCAGGCATTGGACCATAGCGAGATGTCATCCGGATCGATTTCATCTTCAGATTGCACAATGCATTCAGATTTGGCACCATTTGGTCTTCCCATTGCATTATCACTGGGAAAGACTTTTACCACAGCAGAGGAATCCTTCTGGTCTTTTTTCAATGCACTTTTAATTTGTAAGATTTCTTGGAAGCTTTGTAACGCAGCTAAGGACACTTCAGAACTAGTACTTAATGCTGCCGATTCAATATGTTCCAGTAGTAAAGCCCATGCACGTGGGTAGTCACCTGTAATCAAATCAGAATTATTATTTTACAACCCTCATTTTATGTGCCACAACCTAGTTAATTAAATGTACTCAAGGATACTGAAAATAGAAAATAAAAAAATGTTGCATGTAAGTAAGTAAGTAAGTAAATAACTTTATTGATTTTGTATCCTTATTGAGATCTTGAAAATAATACAATAAAGACTGTTGTTTAAATAAACAACAGCTAGCTAAAAAAGTAACAAAATAAAGTAAACAATTAGAAAATTAGATCAATAAGTAAAACAAAACAAAAGTAAAAAAAATAAAAGAAATGTAAAATTGAGTGATTATTTTGGGGCAGCCGGTAGTTTTTTCAGTGTAATATCTCTGTGGATAAAGCAGTTAAAATGTATTTTGCGTAGTCAGTGATTTCTTTGTTGTCAGTAGAGGTGAGAATTGTTATCATAATTTTTTCCTCAGCTACACCAGCTGAAGATAAGTTATGTTCAGTGAACAGTTTAATCCTCTCCTCTTGGTGTAGTTTGCATTTTAGCAGAAAGTGTTTCTTTTCTTCTACTTCATCAAGATCACAGACTTTGCATTTTATATGGTCAAGGTCAATATTTTTGTACCGCCCCATTTCTATCTGTAAGGTGTGGGCACTTATACGTAGTTTTGTTAGGGATGACCGATGGTTGAGATTTTTAAATACTGTTACTTACAACACAAACACAAGAGCATGTACATGAACCAATAATTTATTTGGCAAATAGGGGGGCACACCACAAGACAATCGTACACAAAAGTGAGACAATGCATAACAGACTGATAAGATGGTCCCTGGTGCCGCCCCCAAAATGTAGAACAAAGCAGGTGTAAACTAGCTGGCTTACAGTTTCTAAACTAAAATACAAACTAGACTAAGACTGAAAACATGTTGGTTGGTTGCATGATGTTAGTATAGAATGGCAGATTGCAGCATGACTGGAACTGGAAAGTATAGGCAGCGAGTGCTGCGGCTACACCATGGTTATGCAGCGGGGGCTGCATGAAGTTAAGAGATTATGGGTAGAGGCAGCGAGGGCTGCAACTACTGAGTTTAGACATTGATGCAGCGAGGGCTGCCTGGGAAGTCGGTAATGAGGTATTAGTAATTACAATAATAAAATTAACAATAATAAAACCCACGCAAAATATACCTAAGAAAAATATGAATGATCTTGGGGGGATATGAGCTAATCCCATAAGCGAAGTCCCCCAAATTGGTGTTAATGCCAGCCTAATGGGGGAGAATGGGGATGGTGGCGGGTGAATAAAACAAGAATAGCTGAGCTCCGTAACACTTTCTGGCTACTTCCAATATGGCGCCAGAAACAAACTTATTGTGATGTTGAGCCACGCAGAAAGTGCGAGATCTATGTAAATATCACGCTAGAGAGCATGAGATTTGCGTCATAACATGGTTTATATTACACATTAAACCTGTATTTATG